TGAAAGTGAAGAATGATCATCGCAGTTAATTTTCCAATTTAAGCAATTGGAAAGAAGAAGCCTGAAAAAATCAGGGCTTCAACGGGATTCGAACCCGTGAACTCCGCGATACCGGTGCGATGCTCTGATTCTGTCGATCACATCAAGCCAGTGCACACCAATAGGCGATACTGTGCAATAACTCAGCCAATCAGATAGCAGCAATTGCATTAGACTACCGTAAGTATACTTCAGTAGAAATATTCTACTAATCCATGGGTGCTATTAGTACAAATGTAACTCACCTTTTTATTAAAAGATCTCTGATAATGATGATGAGGAAATCTGACAAAATATCCCTTTCATGGATCTCATCAAGAATGATGTGACTGCAACGATGAAGAAGGCTGAAAAATAATGAAAAAAAAAAGAAATGAATTAAAGGCGTGGCTCCATACAGTACAGTGTGTTGCAGTGTGGTGTGCAATGTACCATTTCCTGCATTCCTCTACCATCACTATGCTGACCCACATTTCACTCCAATTAAGGGCCTGTAACATTCAAAACACGAGAATATGGTAGCTAATTTACCTTTTAGCTTCAAGTAGATATTAAACTAGTGAGTGTTTCACATGCCCAGGATAAAGTGCAATAGTTTCTTTACAGTCAAATCACTTCCTCCATCATACATGTACATGAACATGTTAACATTTCTGAGGTTTTCACAAGATAGGTTAATTTAACTTGCAGTCATCTCCCAGTCCCTCCCACGCAATGTTTACAGGTACCATTCATAGTCGTTTAATTAAATTTACTCACGGATCATCAACGAGCCATCTAAGAAGCACTCCTGTTGTACAATAAAGAATAGAACCTTGTTCCCGAGGTAGCTTACTGAAAAATAGAAACACATCAAAAGAAGGTTTTCAGAAAATGTTCCCATAGCATTGTTGACATAAAACATTAAAAAAAAGTAAAATCAAAATGTAGTTTATCATAAATCCATTGTAACACCATCATCATCTTCACGATCATCACCAACACCACCAGTACTGTCACTCTCATAGTCATAACCATCATTGCCATTATCATCATTATCACCTTCACTGTCTTCCGCACTTGGCCATTATCACACACAAGTTTCAAACAGCATCTCAATGTTTCAGGCTCAAGCTTAAATACAAATTCTAATTTCTAAATGCAATACAATATTGTTTTTGAGGTTAGGTCTACTTATCACTTCAACAAGACAAACCATCTTGGTTGTTATTGTTTTCTTTTTCTCATTATCTCTCTGCTTGAAATTATAGTGAAAACGTTAAGAGAAATGAGCTGTTGATCGCTTAGTTTAACTTAGTTAATGATGCACAGACCTTTCCAATCTGATCTGATATCCAACACTACCATTTTCACCGCATTCTTCATCCCTCTCTACAGCAACTCTCTCTGCAACCTGGTGAAAAATAAATTTTAGTAAGTACGAGCACTTATCTATTAACCATACGTTAATGAAAAATTAATAAAAATACAAAATGTAAAAAGCACTAAACTCACTGAAATAGCACTGATCCTTCGAGGTTGAGTACAGATCACTCGGCATGTTGATCCACAGCCGCGTTCAATAGCATCATCCAAGACAAACTGAGCAACCTGCAATAATCACTAGAAATAAATCAATTTTCCTCATTCTGGGCTGAATCCTGGTTACGCTACTTATCAACCTAGGTTGACAACAAAAACATTATTTATTATACCAGAAAAAGAAAATATGAATGCTGCAATAATTTGAAGCTCATATCAAATCATTTTGACCTAAACTACATTTTAAACTATACAGTGTAACAACACATGTATTGCAGACCTATGATTCAAAGGCTAAACTATGCATCAGTATGGTTTGAAGCAGACCTGAGTTGTTTTGCCACATCCAGTCTCTCCACTGATAACTAAAACCTGCTCTGAGTTAATAAGGTGAAGTAATTCCTAAAAGAAAGTATAAATAAACCTGTTACTGGGTTAAATGCATTTGCAGGCCTAACATGTTATAAACACCATTCAGTAGGATTAATTAAACAATAAATAACAATTTACAGGTTGGCGAATGGTCCTTTAAAAACCCATGGTCTCGCAAAATTTTCGCCAAATTTCATGGGTCTCGCAGTCTAGTTTTTTAGCAGTTATGTGCATCTCGCAGTCTCAATTTTTTTCAAGGCTAAGAAAGTCGTTAAGTACCGTTTTGTTTAATTTTCTTTTATAAAGTTACATGACATCACAACATCTTAGAACCTGAACGTCTTAAGTTCGCATTAAAAACACTTTAAAGACTCGGTCTCGCAATTGAAGAAATCAAAATGTCTCGGGCTCACAAAGAAAAATGCTAGTCTCATTGTCTCGCAAAGTCTCACATTTACCATTTGCCACCCCTAATTTACTTATTTACTCAATTGCAGACGAAAAAATTGATTCGCCATCAGCAAAAAACACTGTCTTACCTCTTTCTTCTCATATGTTGGTAATCTTTTACGGAATTCCTAGAAAGGAAATAAACCAAGACAAGAAAAAATAGCAGTACACTAAAGTCGAAGCTGCACTGATAGATAATGATAGATGAACAGTTATACACAGTCAATTTACATGACATGAAAGGAAAGCTTTACTGTATTTATAAAAAGTAACTTTCTTTAAAGTCAATTCTTGGCAAATTTGAACTCTCAAGGATTGGATTTTTGCCAACTAAAGGAATAATTGTTATTCCACTAGTGATTACAGGGATAGAACTTTCCAGTGACATCCCTTGTCAGTGAATGTGTATGTCATGTACAGTGTAATACAAACAGACGTTCTCCTACAGACCTGCATGGTATTATATCTTGCACTGCCCGACATGACCTTCTTCTGCTGTTCTTCCTTTAAATATTGATCAAAAGCACTGTCCTGCTGCAAAGGTACATCCATATTAAAAATGGACTTGGAAGTTGATTGTTTGCTTCCATCTTTATCAGACACATACACCTGATCCGGGAAGCAATCATCTTCGTCTGCAAACTGACGATGAAACTTTGAGTCTGTTATCCCTTGAATTTCTAGAGTAAGATAAGCACCCACTGTTTTTATTAAGAGCTACAAGACGAAAATCCTAAATTTTACTTCTCAGGTGCATAGGTCTGATGTACTTTTCAAGGAGTAATAGCAATGGCAAAATTGATTGATTCTTGACAACATGAACTGCTAGACAAGTGCCAAGGGTCATAGTGTATATTATTAGGCATGGTGATTTACTCTCACAGCACCATTCTCCACCTAAGAGTATAATTGGGGAATGCCAGTCAGAACGGTCATTGCATCATGACAAATAGTACAGGTGAGAGGGGGAACTATCTGCAGTAGACCTTACAGGTAGTAAATACCCCTAGACTGATGTAAGAACTCTGATCTGGAGAAGGAATTTATCTACAACATATGTGCAAGTTCTGATTTCAATGATGCCCAGTTGGCTTGTAAGTCACCTGTCTACCAAAAAAAGGGTCTGTCTATTTGTAAACAGTTTCTGCCTAATCTTCTCTCCCAAGCTGTCCAAGCATACCCTCATCTCTGTTGTTAGTGTGTGATCCTTCGTCAGGATGTTCACGGTTCTGCTCTTCATGAGGGGCATCACACCAATCTCTGCAGGCTGATGTACTAGCTTGTGTTCTGCTGTCATCACTTAAACTAGTACTACTCTCATTTTCTCTTAATTCTCCCAGCAACTGACTTATCCTCTCCTCATGATGGCTGTCCATTGTAACAAAAGCACGCTAAATGAAAAAAATTAGTCCATGTTACATCATTATCACTGAAATACAAGGAGAGACAAATTTTTCAAATTTTTTGAGATTCCACGATGGCTCTAAAACCTGCTTAAGTTCCTTTCTTGCTTTCTTTTCATGTCCTTTCCTTGCATACCAGAGGCCAATCTGTTTTCCTGACAAGCCTGAGGGATGCCGTCCACGTCCTCTACCCCTCCTACCTCCACCTCCATCACTTGAAAATTCAGACTTATGACGGATACCTGTCAATAGTTACAAGACATTATTAGAGGTCTGCCTAAAAGCCAAGGTGCAGTCTTTTAACGCCAGGATGTATCAAGAAGCAGACTGCAGTATCAGAACTTCACTTGATATAGGATCCTACTCTGGTTACACTCCAGTACTTTGTCAGGTTTACCACACAATTAACCAGTACCCATTTTATGTAAACTGTCTCGCCCAAAAACACAGTTCAAAAGACCAAACCAGGGCTCAAACCCAGAGGAGTTGATCAAGAACTCAATGCGCAAACCATCAGGTCTCAAAAATATGTCAAAAGGTTAGATCCATCACCCACTTTGTCCTACACCCATGACATAATGAACACTTACTAATAAACATTAATTATTTATCACACAGAGTACTTTCATGTCACATACATATGCATAAACCTAGTAGATGGCCGTCATGTGTAGACATGAACAGTGAGGATTGTTATATACTTGATAAATGGCCTCACTTGTAAGCCAAGAGTCTCCCCCCTGGCTAAGTGGCTAGAGAACTCCACCAGAATTTTGGAAGTCACGGGATTGGGAGCGATTGCAGAATACCCAGCCCAACCATTAACATGCATCGGTGTGCTTTGAAGAACGAGGTATATAACAATAGTTGCTGTTCTTAGTTGGTGTACATGCTAGCCTGGGTATTCTGCAATTAAGCCCTCTGATGCCCGTGATAAAATGAATATTTCATCTTTATCATTACTTAGATCTCAGGCAGCCTATTACACCTAAAGCTAACAAAGAATTGACACTATTTAACAGTAATATTAAAAGAGCTTACATTCAGTGCTAAAATGTGATCAAATACGTCATAGCTGCGTGAAACCTCAGTATAAACTGAAACACTAGTCTGCATTTTGTATTGAAGGTACAACCAAAGGTTGTACAGCAAAAAACGAACAAAAAAGCGCGCTGTTTGTGGACTAATTGTTGAGTATTTTCATCAGCTTGGTTCAGCTGTTATCTCAGCTGTTTAATTCTAAACGTTACCTCCTTTATGCATGCTTTTGGAATCGAAACTAGGTCTTCCCACATTCAATGGTCTTGACGTTAAAATAGTTCTTTTTATACCAACGAAGGAGCCCAGAGATCCCCAAAATTTTCGCTGCATTTACCCAACGCGAACTCTGAATTCACAGCTTTTCGTCCGCCATTTTAGTTTCCGTGTGTACCCAGTCCCCCTTTCAAGTTTCTAATCCGCGCTTGGCTCACGTGGGCCTGGTAATAAAAGAAACAACATGTCTATGTTTTTACAGTAACAAATTTAATCATGTCAGAGCGTTCTAAGACAACAGAAATCCCTCAAGAAGAACGTGGCCTCACTTCACCTGTCTTTGTTGGCATTAAGCAGGATTTTGTGGAAAAACAAAAAGTGAAATCCAATGTGAATGGCAGGGATATTGTTGTATTTTATCATAACCAGCAATTTTATGCAATGGACCAACATTGCTACCGTAAGTACTGTCAGTAAACATTTACAGTAGAAATCTTTCCAGAGGAAAAGGTTAAACTTAGTATTCAAAAATTATACCAGTGGACTAATCTGGTTAAATAAATATGGTCAAATATATATCTACCTTTTTGGCTCCTAATTTATTGTGTAGGCCAGAAAATATCCATACCTCTCCCACATAAGGGATTCCCACCCCCCAAAAAAACACCCCCCTAGAAATTCCAATTTAAGCTTCATACACTTCTTTAAATTTTTGGTCTTACAGAACTCCTCACCCCTAGGAAATTCCAATTCCTTCTGTAAGGGGAGTATGGATATTTTCTGGAATTGCATATTCAACCTTGGTATGCTAACATCATAGTCTTTCAACATATAAAAAAGATGACTAAAACAGACTGTTTTTCTGCACTGTTGATTGGGCCAGAGTAATGTAACTATAAAAATATTGATGAGGTGTTGATCAGCTTGTTCTCCAGTGCTGCAGTTGGAAAATCTTGGAAGAAAATCCAGAGTCCCAAAATACAGGACTTTGAACTGTCTAATTTTGGACCTCTTAGCTTGCATCTGGTCAGATCCACTGTTTACTGAGTTGCAATTGTCCTACGCTGATGACAAGCTGGTCGACTTCTGACACCATTATCTTTACCGAACCTCACATACATTGCATTTTTGATACCCTATATCATTTCATTTCTGTCACTGTATGGAAATGATTAAGTTAGAGTGATTTTGTGGAATTCCTTTCGTAAATGTAGTCTTCACACCGAATGTCTAGTTCCAGAAAATATCCATACCTCTGCCATGGAAGTGATTATTTCTAAGACTCCCACCCCACCTCTCTGGAAATTCCAGTTAAGCTTCTTACAGGTGTTGGTCTTGCAGAGTACCCCTATCCCCACCCCCAGGAAACTCCAATCTCTTCTGTGGGTGGAGTATGGAAATTTTCTCGAACTGCACAATATTTTGAGTGCTAAGACTAATAGAAACTCATTTCTTTAAGATGCTGGAGGTCCTTTAGAGGAAGGTGATATAGAAGTAGGTGACATTGAATTCCTCATTCCTCTATCTCTCTATCTCGAATCTTGCCAGGAATTTTCCTCTGCAACTTGTGTGACTGAAACATTTTAATAATTGTACAGCTGCCATGTTTTTTTTCCTTTGCTCAGCTGGCACATTTTTGTGTAACATGATGGGAATTAAGGCCCAAATCTCACCTGTCACTCAGTGGCCTGATTCCCAGACCCTGTATGATGTACACACCAACAAACAAACTAGTGGACAGAGTGGATGACGAAGGGAGGGGCCAGACAGAAATAAACTGGATATTAACCTCTTACTGACTGAGTGCGAGGGTCGTCCTAGGGCATATTGGCCAATGGTTGTGACAGTACAGACCGATCACAGTGGGGTCCATACAAAAATTACAGAGGGACAATATCCCCCAGTAGAGCTCAAGCAAGCTGGGTGAATGAGTAGTTTACTATATGGCACTTGGGCCTTGACCTTTCGGATTTTCGAAAGCAAAAAATACACAGCTTATGACCTGATTTCCATGGTCCATAATGCAAAATCCAGACCAAGAAAGAATCAATCAGAACACTCAAAATTACCTCAAGGCTACCTATCATGCCATATAATATTTTTTATTATTATTACTGCACTAACCACTTGCCTGTCTGCTGACAATTTTTAAATAAACCACTCATGTAAATGTATGTCATTTTTATTTCACTTTTATTAGGACGTTGGTGGGCATTGGTGCATCATTTGTCCATACCACAAACAGAGGATAACCTTGGACACTGGAGAGGGCCTGCATTTCTCATTTGATCCTAAAGATTTCAAGAAGCCACCCAAATTATGTTCTAAAGGAACTGTACAGAGAGTCCACCAAGTGCAAGTTGTTGAAGACAAAGTCTATGTGACACTTTCAGACTCAAAAGAATACTTTCCGTCAGACTACTTTTACTCCAAACAAATTAGGAAGAAGTAATTAACATCGCAAACATACTCCACAAAATAACTGTCCCTTTCAATGAAGTTTTCTAAACTTGTCTGCCTTTTATACCTCAAGTAACATCACAACACCAGCTGAAATTGAACTACTCATTCGTGCAGATAAATTATTTCATTTTCTGTTAGCTTATTAATGTATTATTATATACTGATATCATTAATTAGCTAGAACTGGTATAAAATGCTGATCATATAACGTACACTTTGAAGGGTTGTGTAGTTATTTTGCATGTGGCTATGATAAGGTTATATCTTATAACTTGCTGGATTTTCATCAAGCCCTATTTTATAAAAGAAATGGTCACTTCTTGTTAGTGTCGTCCAGTGCAAAAGCTGAAGAAAGTTTGGGAGAGTTGAAAAGAGTAACCCTTCACATGTGGTGCAGGTTTACATAACTTTTGAATTCTCCCAGACGTTTTCTTGTGTTTCCATCAGGCCACAATATGTATTATTATTATCACATTATATCATACACTAACCAAAAGCCCCACCACATCTCCCACCATCAAAAAAAAATTGTTGGCGGTTGCCGATTCTTTTGAACATATCTTCTTTCTTAGAATTTTTGGAAAGTATCTGCCAGACTCACACCTATGTGCATGGGTCTCAAACTTTAATCTTATACAGGGAGGCTAATGCATGGTTCTCAAATCTGGACTTCTCTTTAAATAATACTTAATCTTAACCACTTCTTGAGAAAAAAAAAATATCTGCATTCAGATTATGCAAATCACACCACTTGTCATGTAAATGTCACCAAAATTCCAAACATCAGTGAAGTTGGATTCATGTCAGTAAGTTGTTAAATGTCTTGAGAAAAGTTCTGAAACCACAGGGTGTGATGCAACTTTTTGACAAGACACGGTGAATTAGTACATGTTACAGAGGAAGACATCTGTGTAGATGACTATCCGTGTTGTTGATCTGCCATGTGACGCATAGTTAACATACAGGAATAGTGCTTCCCCTTCCTAGATCTTGCAGTGATTTCTGGGCAGTTTCTATGGTGTAGGTATGTTGATTTAACAGCCACCAGTGAGCTATGCTGCCTTGTATCAGAGAGCGGGATAATGAATTTCGGGTCAGCTATCACCTGCAAGACCAGTGAGATCCTCATCTTCTTGGTCATCATCCTACAACAAAAAACAAAATTACTGCATTCTAGTCAATGCAACATGAAACTATCAATATTGAATCTGATTCTGCCTCAGATAATGCCAACATTTGCTAGAGACTCCCAAGATGCCAAGAACATAGCACCAATATAAATATATAATGTAACAGTACTTTTCCTTGTATTCATAATATCATTATCACAACATCAACACTTTGACAGCACTGTACATAGATCGTGTACCAATAATATGGTCAATGAGTATAACAGTAATGATTACACCTTCATGTCCAGCAAAATTGCCTTGAGTCTTGGCATCTTCACACAGTACACTGATGATGTAGTATAATGTGATTAATTGAAAATAGTAAATATTGACCTTCATTTCACGAACATCCAGGTCTTCACCATATTGGATAGCATTGTCGATCTGAATTAGAACATTTGTGATAGAATCCTCGTCACAGAGGTTTAGAGGAACAAATGATACCATGCTGTAGTCATCAATCTGGTAATGCAGAAAAAAAATTATGCACTTACATTTAATAAATTAAAGTAAACTGACAACTAGATGATTTTTGACTGTGTTGGTGCTTTTTGGCTGTCAACAAATGTATTAAGATATTTACTGACAAAGCATCTGCAATTTCTCAGACATTATTCCACCTCAGTTCAGCGAGTATCTGCTGTAGTTGAATTCTATTTGAAACCATGACTGTAACTTCATGCCTAGCTTAAAAAGCTTCAGATTGAAGCAGGAGAGCATGGATGGCACAGTGGTGAAAGTGCTTGCCTCCCCAATACAGTGGCCTGGTTTGAATCCTAGACACTGAGCATCATAACTGAGTTGAGTTTGTTGTCAGCTCTCATCCTTGTTTCAAGGGTTTGTCTCCCAGTTCTCTGGTTCCTCTCCTCCCACCCTCCACAAAAACCAGCACTCCCAAATTCCAATTGATTCTGTAAATAGCAGACAAAGAGCCTCTTGCTGGATGCACCACTGTCAATTCCTATTTATTTACTACTTTATAATCACAATATAAATCGACTGGAAGATCTATACACCTACCAACCGTGCCAGGGCTTTATTGAGCTTTTTAAATTTCTTGTTTGTGCTCACTTTAAGTTCTTCCACAAGCTGTTGTGGATCAGGATCTAAATACCTACAACAGCGACTAGTTACAATCAATAATATCCTTTGTCCATCTCAAAAATATAATGCATCTTACAATCACTGTAGACACAGGCCATCAGAACACAATAAAGGCATAGGCCCCAACTTGACCAACAAATTAAGTGAATAAGAATAAGCCCCCAGCTTTCCCAAAGAAATTGCACTTGAACCCACAGCCAACTATTATTATATTTAAGTGGGAAGTAATCAAAGTCTCTGAACTATTGATGGTATGAAAAAAATTATGCAAATAAAACCCCTATTTATACTAATAAAAGCAGTTACAGGCTGCTAGGCAGCCAGTGAGCCACCTTTTGGCTGTCCAGATCAAGGTTCTTCCATTTTGCAAAGTCGCCACCAGGATTTTAAAAAATTATTTATGTCAGGGTCAACAGGAAAAAAGCCCACCTATCTACTTGCTTCATCTGCTTCTTGTTAAGCAAGTCCATTTTGCTCATGACATTTATATGAGGAATCTCCAGTTGAATCATCGCCGACAGTGCCGTCAGGACACCAGCAAAGAACTTGCTACAATCCACAACAAACTGAGAATCAATCAGGAATACACCACACACTCGGAAGTCCCACTGATGCAACGTCTGCACCAGCTGTCGCATCACTGGCATGTGGGTGTACAGTTCTATTTGGCCTGCGGTTTAACAAGGAAAAATTAAATAAATAGACAGATCTACACCCTGGGGTACTCCCATTTGAAAAGGTTGGGGATGCTAGTCATCTCACTTTCTTATGTTGTTCATGACAAATTAAGCCACTATTTGTATCTTTCAACATATCTCTTAGGGTGCACTTGAAGAAATAATAATAAAAAACACTCTTATTTTTGTTTTTACGCTTGATTTCCACCAATCTCTCAAGTCAGGTCTGTAAACCTAAGCTCCTTTCTTAACAGCGGCTGGTAATCAAGCCTATTCCGTTTTAAGTGGTATCTCTTAGGAATGAAATAAACCTCAAGCCACACCCAGATTGGTCTCCTTTAGGGGTTTACTTGAAATTTACAATGAGCATCTCCAACCTTTTCATATGGGAGTTCCCCCAGAATCTAGACAGCCACTATAATTTACTATTCTTTATGTGGTACGTGATTTATTTTGCCAAGCGAGTGTCTCTCCAATTTGCAAGTGCATGTAATATTTTGCTTCACTGGTCAGTGTAGGTTCAATTACCAGCCACTGCTTGGGAAAAAGTGGCTCCACATCTCTCTCCGAACTCAAGGAAACAGATATCAAGCCTACAGGCAACCCATCTAACAATTTGGTTGCAACAACATTATTAATATCTTACTTGCACAATTATTTTATTACACACCTGGACAATCAAACAAGATATAATCGTCATCAACATCTCCCAATTTTTCTTCCAGCCAATCAAAATTCTGCACCAGGTATCTAGGTGGGAAAATTTTAAATTAAATGACTTACCTATTAATGCCATAATTTACATATATTTGTATTGCAAAGATGGATTAAAATGCCTACAAACCTTCAGGAATATATGAGGCACATGTTTGGTATACTGACTCAGCATACTTTATGATGTAGACGTCAGAAATAATACAAAACTAAAAGCAATAATTGCTTTAAGTTTTATTATAAGTAAAGCAAAGATCTGTCAAGTTCAGAAACATAAGAATAATTTTCTTACTCCATACAGAAAACAAGTCCACCATTTGGCCCAAGTCGTAAATCTTCAGCTTCCATCACATCTTCTACTTCTACTAACTCCCTTACATCTAAAAAGTACAATAATTACTCATAAACAGGTTGATCGTTGTCTTATAAGAAACAATTTGGAAATACCATGCTTGGCACTCTTTTATGCAAATTCATTTCAACTTAGCCTCTTCACAAACCGCTTTTAATCATTAATAATGTAACCTTGATGATGACGCAAGATGCACCGAAACGTCAGTTTCTATCACTTATATTTCTTGTCTCGATTATTTTCTTATCAAGAATAGCGCCTAGCTATTCACTTTTTGCTATACACTATTCACATTTTCTAGATTACTCATCCTTTGCAAAGTTACAAGGAATTTTCAGGTTAACATTGACCTTGAAAGCAATTTTAGTAGGAAATAACCCATAACATAATAATACACACACCAGCAAGGACTGGATAGTCAAAGTGTTCTGCAGCAGGATCGAGGTTCACCACATGCACTGAACGTTGTACATTCTCACAGTGTTGCAGTATTGTATTGCAATAAGTTGACTAGGAAAAAACAGAAGAAAATAAAGCCCTGGCCAAATGGACTTGCAAGTAGTTGCTAGTAGTCGCAAGTAGTCACGAGTAGTCTCAAGTTGAACTTGGGGTTAGGGTTAGGGTTAGGGACTCGCAAGTTTACACCCAAATCACACACAAAAAAAAAACATTTCGAGGCTACATATCTTGTGTTTCATTTTCCAATAGGTTGCTATAACAACAAATAAATACGGTATCTTTCAACTTGTGTTGACTTGGGTTGGGTGGCCAAATGGTGAGTAACTTTCATCGACTTGCATGCAAATTTGATCTCAACCAGAGTGAGCGCAAGTCATCGCAAGTCAACGCAAGTGTAAATGGAGTCAAATGGCCAAATGGAGTTGCAAGTAGACCCAAGTTTTCAACTTGCATCTACCTGCGGGTCCATTTTGGCCAGGGCTTAACAAAGCAAGTAAAAAATCAACAACCTGCTTAAAATATTGACAGTATGGGCTACAGGTGCCTAAAATCTAAGCAGATTGAGTAGCTATGCTTTCTTTGTGACTACCACCCTATCTCAACCTCTACCCTACAATATCCTCCCTACCTACCTACATGTACCACCCCCTCCCTCCCTCCCCCC